ATAATAAGCTGTGTAATCAAAAAATAAAATGTTGAAAACTATCTGTAACTATAGGCACAACCTGTAGATTTCAAAATGTCAAAAGCATGGGTTTTACAAAATACAATTTAGCTGTTTAAAAAAACTGAGTTGAGTGTGAAAAATTGATGTCTACCTCAGATCTTATACACAACATAAGTGAAAAAAATAACATATCAGGTCAGATCAGGTTTTGGGACTTTCTATAATCAGAAGATGTCCAAGACATTTTAAATATAATTATCAAATAGCTATGGCTATTTGCTGCTAACATTTTCATCTTTGTGGCAGTTGTCAATTCTGCGCATATTGTGTATTTTTACCTATTGTGTGTTTTCTACTTGAGTAATACTGGATGCTTTGATAAAATATTCATATATTTTCACACTTACTTTCTGATTTTATGTACAGTAGAATCTTCTAAAKTCCTTTCTCACAATTCCAGGGTGTTGAAATTAGCCGACGGGAAATCTCTGCAATTAGCTCATGTTTAAGGTTTGATCCTTTAATCCAGAGGACATCAGAAATAATTAGAATAGCAGGAACAAAGTGTCATGTTCCTAAGCCAAAGTCCTTTTTTTAAGTTTTTTTTTTTTTAAATTTATTTAGACAGTCACTTAATCTCCTGTTATTTATAACTGCTAAAACGCACTGCTGGTGAAACATGGAAGAGCAGGAATGGTGTTGAAGAGGTGAGGAGTATTAACCAGATCTGTCATCACCATCTGGAATATGGTTTAGGATTCCAGTGAACATCACTGACCCCTGTATCAACTTAAGAGAAAAACAGTCATGGGTGGGGGTGGGGGGACACTGGAAGAAGACAAAAAGAAGAGAAAAKAAGGAYGTTAGAGAAGTCACTGATGAAATCAGCTGGCGAACTGCTGAGGTGGCTTTACAGAGATGACTGTCGCTGTTGCAAAGTGATACTGACTGAAAATGATCACAGTTTTCAGGCTCTTCTTGTTTCCTATTTTGCTGCAGTTGTGCAGGACCTGATGACATACAGTGGAGAAGTGGAGATATCCAGGAAAGGTGGCAGGGATGTTTTTGACTTGATTATTTAATGGTACTTTTGCGAATGAGAAAATGCCAGCAAAATAGTGCCTAACCACGATTAGTTGTAACATTAGACTTTATTTAATAAACATATATTTTAACTGTAAATAAAGACTGTAAAAATACTGAAGGATGTTCAGTTTTTATCATTTTTAAACTAAAAGTTAAAAAATATATTACACGGACGGAGCC